GCTTTATCACCTGAAAACACAAACGTGAGCTAGCCGGCGGATGTGTGCCGGAAACCTCTCTGATGCCTAAGTCAGTAAGCTTGACAAATAGACAAAAGCTCTGTGTATTCAGAAAGCAAAGTTGTGTGTTACCTCTCCAAATGTGATGTTTGTGAGCTTTTATAGGTTTCGTGTGGCACAATCCTAGTAGGACTTCTACTCCTCCATGCAGAGTCCTCTTAGGATTCATACTCCTGAAAGATAATACTTATCCTTCAACACCCCCCTCACTGCTTAAACCAAGTGAGATGGTTTTTACCATGGCCGAACTCCAACATGACCGAAGTAATCATGGCTATGCTGAGCCGCAGAGTAGGCTGAACTATCCTTAGTTCGGTTCTTCCTTTCGCTACACCTTATCTCGGTTCTCTCATGTACAAACCATGGTGTGTTTAGACCGAGCTACCGAATAGTAAGGTTCTGACCGTTCTATCCACAATACGCCATGACCGGGCTAAGTCTGAGACCTGACTAACTTCAAAGTGTCTTTAGACCGGACTAACTTCAAGTCTCCTCCAGCCGGACTAGCTTCGGGGCTCTTGGACCGGACTAACTTTAAAGTCTTTTTACTCAGCCCTTTGTATTGCGGCCTATGACGGCCCATTACCCAGTTCGGCCCAATTTTCATTTAAATTACCCTCTCAAGCTTATTGTCGAATGATCGACCGAACGACTAACCAAATGACGGACGAGCCAAAATTCGGACCATATCTATATAGCTATGTTCCTCTCTTCTTTCTGTACAACACTTCACTTCTATAGCTACATCCACAACCTATCTTACCGTAGATGTTCCCACGTGTCCATGTGGCCGCCCGCATAAACTAAACTACGTATTTTATTTGCGAATTAATTATTTTAATTTATTTTTTATAAAAAAAATAAAAAATAAAATAAAAAAAGTGATATAATCAGAGAACAAATAATGACTCTTTTTGTTTATAGTTTGTCAAGAATATATATATATATACATATATATTTTAAATTTTAAATTTTAAATTTTAAATTTTAAATTTTGTGCCAATTGAAATCAAGGCTTTTTTGCATGGAGAGCAAATGGCGTTTGGAAATATAATTACCTGTTGAGAGCTTCCTCAAAATAAGGATTTTTATTAGTAAATAATTTTTGGAAATATAATGGAAAATATTTTTCTTAAATAAATATTTTACTTATTTTTTGTTCAATCATAATCAAACTATAATGATTTCTGTTAAAAAATTCCGTTAAATTATTTTTTATTTTGTTGATGTTGATCCATACTCAACTTATACAATGGGAACAAATGTTTATTTTATTCGTGAGGTATATTGAATTCAAAATCCTATTAAGTTTAATTTTGACATAATTATTATAGTTATGTATTTATTAATTTCTTACACAATACTAGTGAGGTCGGCTCGCAACCTAATGCCCACTATAAATTGTAAATTATCTTTAATTGTAGTTCATTGATTTGTTTGGTAAATGTTATATTAAAAAAAATTAACAATTTAAACTCAATGAATTTAGGGAGGGGGAAAAAACATTGAAGTTAAAAATAGGAAACATCAAAGCATTAAAGGTCAAATTAATTTAGAGGGATGCTAAATGCCCCTATCTTTCTACTTTCTTTGGCCCCCCACTACCAAAATTGCTTCCCTCTTTTTTTTCTTTGGATCCCTATCATAATCTCAAATATACCCTTTGAACCCAACCCCTACACCTTCCACCTTCAACTCCTCTTTCTCTCCTCCAGCAGTCCCCTCCTACTCCGACAATCCTCTCTTTCTGACAACTTGCTTAGACAATGGCAACAACAACAGTAATAGAGCAACCGTCTATTTCCTTAAAGTATTAGACAGATGCGAACTATGTTTCAAGGAATGTAACAACGTTTCAAGGAATGTAACAACGCTGGAAGTGTAATGGGCCCAAGTTTGAAGAGTGATTTCTTCATTGTAGAGAATCACATTGATGTTGCTGAAGATGAAAAATGAATAACCAGTTCGGAAAACCCATATTTTTGCCTTCGTGACCACTCTCGCCGCCATTCAGAAAATCAGTTCTGAACAAAACCTTCATGTTCAGTGCTATGTAGCTGAACAAAAGGCATATGTTCGGTTGTAGAGTATTGAACATATTCAATAAGTTCAGCTTTGTGTAATCGAACAAAAAGAAATCGACCAACCTATGAGGTAGAGAGAGAAATTGATGGAGAGAGAGAGAGAGAGAGAGTCGTGCACAAAAGAGAGTAAAGAGAGTAGATTTTGAAGGATGAAGACGAAGATCAAGAAAAAGAGTTCACGAATTAGTCGCTCCTTCTCCACCGTCGCCGACGCCAAAACCCTAACCTTTGCCTCCATTAATAGTTCCTTGAACAATAAGTGGCGGCAAGAGGCTTGCCAAAGGAGGAAAATAACGGAGATGGGTTGGTTGCCGGAGGCCATCGGCAGGAGTGGAAGTGGTGGTGGGATTAGGGTTAGGGTTAGACTTGGAAAGATAGAATGATGACAAAATTGAAATTTGATGTTAGGACAAAATTGTAATCAAATAAAATATAAAAAATGGGGGGTCTAAAGTAAAAAAGTATGGGCATTTAGCAGCCCTCTTAATTTATGAACTGTAGTTATTGTGTTCGTCTCTTATTGTTACAGTTAATAAAATAAAAAAAAAATCCCCCTAAGGTTACAGTTAATTTAAATAAAAAAATTTCAATTACATACAATTGAATGCATTGCATATATATAAATAATTTTTTTTTAAAAAAAAAAAGAGCACGAAGATGTAAATAAGAATTGGCTTAGAAGAACAAAGATTTATTTAATAAAAAGAACCCCCCCCCCTCCCAAAAAAAAAATGTATATATAATAAAAAAAAATGAATAATAAAAAAACTCACAATAGTAATGATATGATAAAAGAGATATCAATAGATATGGGGAAAAACAAAAAAAAAATTGGATTGTGATTTAATAAGTTTTACCACTAATTCTTAGTGGTATTTTGGGGTATAAGATTAAGTATAATGTTACAACTTGTCCGACAATATTGAGAAATATAAGAATAATTGTTAAAATTGTATACCTTTGTACAGTTGGTATAGAACAATGAACTTTATTCCAAAGAAGACTACATGTAATTTAAACCGTAGATCTGCAATTGAATATTCAAGTTATTATTGGTAAGGAACCGTTGGCTATATATTTTGTATAAACCAATCACAATTTAACACGTGGCATGAAAAGGATAATTTGAGGAGTTAATACAAGTCTCCAACTAGCGAAAAACACGTGGCGATTCATATTGGTAATAATAGATCTGCGCAACATGGGAACAACTAGAAGGCGCAAGATGACGTGGCCCAATGGTTACTTACAAATTCAAATTCAGGAGGGAAGCCTAACTACAAGAATGACATAGTGGGATTAACTGTGAGAGAGCATGATCAGTAATCGTTTGAGGACATTTTGACGGTCGAAAACCCACTTCGACGGTTATCATTGGAGAGTATAAATAGAAGAAAAGGCCCCAAAAAGAAGGAGCCAGATTCAGATAAAAAAAACTAGTGTATTTACTTCTTATTTCTTTCTAGTTTTTTACATTTCCAATTTTTTATATTTTCAGCACTTCAATTCTTGTACTACACTTCATTTCATAGGAGTAATTTCAAGTAGTCGTTGCTGTAAACCTTTTTAAAGCTGGGTCATTTCATTGTAAGTTTCTATTTACTCAATGAAATTCAGTTTCTAAATTGTTCTGTACTTGTTATTTCTTATAATTTCTCCTAAAATAAGCCACCAGTAAAAATCCTCTTCATGGAGGCTGAAAGAATTTCAACACAATTGTCTGATAATTGGTTAGCAATTAAAATTCTGTAAGGACTGATTGATCCTTACTAGCATGCTTAAATTTACACTATTAACCTTCAAAAGCCAAAAAAGTCAACATATATTTTTGGCCAGGGCTAAGGTCAGTAAGGCCTGCGCAGGCCCCAAAATTTTGGCTCAAAAATATGGCCTCCAAATTTAATTTAGTAAAATGTTATAGGCCAAATGTTTTTTTTATTTTATTTTTTAGGATCAATTAAAAGGCCTCAAAATATTTTATTGGGTCCATGTATGGTTTAGCCCATATTTATTTATAAGTGTAGTTTGACTCATATTTATTAAAATGAAAAAATATATATTTAAAAAAAAAAAAGTGCTTGGGCCCAATAAGAACAATACATTTATGGGCCCTAATTTTTTTTTAAACCTTCTTTATCTATTAGATTTTAGTAGAATAAATAATTTTGTCCTAATTTTTTTGCCATAATTTTGTTTCATTAAATTTTTTGTTTACAATTTTAATGATTATATGTGCAAGTAAATTTTTTTGTGATTACAAACAAATAAAAAAGTTGTAACTTATCGTTTTATCCATGAACTTTTTTTTTTTCAATGTAAGAGGGGCCTCATTTCCGAAATTTGCCTTAGGCCCCCTAAATCTCAGGGCGGGCCCTGTTTTTGGCACGCCCAGTGGGACCCTTAAAAATGGCTAGACATAGAGCAAGAGGAGAAAATGAACGCTTAGAAGAGGATGTAGAAGGAGAGGTGGAAATACCTAACACAGAGGATAATGTAATGGATGCATCTATCCCATCAGATCCTCCACAAATAGTCGAACAGACCAGCACTTCAGAATATACAACACATGTCCAACATACTAGACAGGGCCATGAAACTGGACTTTCAACTATCTCTTCTATCCAACCAATAAATCCATGGGGAGGTTTAGTAGATGCTATGGGACAACAACTAATATGTACAATGGAAAGATGGGCAATATCATTTTTGGATCGAATGAACTCTCATCAACAAACTATTACAAGACAGGTTGGAGAGAACGAGAATTCCCTTCAGCATAGATTAGCTTGAGATAAACAGCCTATGCAAAATAATGGACAAACTAATGGTCAGATTAGTAATCAAAACCAAGAGAAAATGTCACATGCGCCTCAGTCATGGTACGAAACTCCTTTGAGACCACTAGCAAACCAAAATGTACCATTGCCCACCAGCGAAACCATACAAATTGGTAGATCTGGGCCAGCACAAGGGGATGGTATAAGGATGTTTCCAAATTCTATGTTCGAAGCCATACCTGACACATGGGGTTTCACTAATCCTGTGTTTGAATTTGCACCCGAAAGGTTGGAAGGATTTCTTGTGGTTGGAAGAGAAACAACACTTGTTCCTCCTCTTGCAGGGCCTTTCCTCGGACAGATTCCAAGAGGTCAGCCATACCTCCAACAGCAACAATACAACAAGGACAACCAATCTTGAATGTACCTATATATGGACCAAGAGGCCCTCAAGCACATGGAGTTCCTCCAAACCCTGTGTTTGTTCCTCCAGTAGTGGTTCCACTAGCACAAAATATGGTTCCAAGGGACCAAATTGCTGATATAGTCAGAGAAATATGTGGACCTATGGCTTGGGAGGTCCAAACACCAGTGTACAGAAAACCTTACCCAGAGTGGATAGATAAGGTACATGAATATCCAATGGGGTTTATAATACTAGATTTTGCCCTCTTTTATGGGAATGGAAACCAGTCAACGGTGGAACACATTGCTAGGTTTATAGGTCAGTGTGGTGAGTTCGCCAATAATGACTACATGAAACTAAGACTTTTCCCGAATTCTTTAACTGGAGCAGCCTTCGTATGGTATATAAACCTTACACCTGGCTCTATCCAAACTTGATAGCAAATGGAAGAGGTTTTTCATGTCCAATTTTTCCAAACAGAACTTGAGGTTTCCATGGTAGACTTGGCAAGATTGGGCCAAAGGCCTGATGAGAAAGATGTTCAGTTTATTACTAGATTTAAAAGGACACGACACAAATGTAGGGTTATGCTATCCGAGCCTGAATTTGTGAGATTGGCTCAAAATGGATTGGAGTTTAGGCTTCGAAAGAAGTTTGATTCAACTGAATTTTGAGACTAAGTGGAATTAACCTATAAGGTGTCCAAATATGAAACTTTACTTGACGAGGAACAAGATCGAAGTAATGCATCATGTAAGACCTATTATAGGGACTCTAACTATGAAATTGATACAGTAAAGATCGTAGGAAAAAAACCTTTGACTTGTGAAACATTAATTCAGAAAGACAATACAATAGACCAGCAGTTTAAAAAGAAAAACTTTCATATAAAGTATTCTTTTGATTTAACAAAAGCAGATGACATTTTTTATCATTTGCTTACAACAAATTTCCTAAAGTTATCAAAGAGAGTTCAGATCTCTATCTTTGAAGAACTTAAAGGAAAACTGTACTGTAAATGGCACAATTCTTGGTCTCATTCAACTAAAAACTGTATTGTTTTCCGAGACAGGATCCAAGAACAAATTTGGAAGGGAAGTTAAAGTTTCCAGCCAAGATTGAAAAGCTATGGAAATTGACACCAACCCGTTTCCAGAGATTGGGGAGGCTGCAGCCAATATTGGCATGTCAGAGTTTCAAAATTTATCCTTAAAATGATGGTCCAAGCCCAAGCCTAGGGTCCTGGACAGGGCTCAGGGCCGAGCCCATCTCGGACCGTGGGGAGATTTCAGGCTGCCCATAGACTACGGACCATTTTTATACCCATTGTCAAAAGTAATCCAAATCAACTTGCACACATCTTTTCTAGGAATATAGAATGGAGAATTTTATGCTAAACACTATTTTAGAAAATGTGAACCACTTGTATGATTTGAATGGCAGTAATATTTGATTATAACTCGCTTAACATGTAATAATTATAATCTCTATTCAATGTAAAATCAAATTAAGTTTACAAATCTATGACCAATACTATTATTTTTGGATTTTGCTAACAAGTTTTTTAGAAGGCACAAGAAAAAACAATTAATAAATTGACCTCTTACTAATTATTAAACACTTTTTACAAATTTAAAACTTTATTTAACTTGTCACCCTTTCTAAAACATTTTTTTATTGGAAGCATAGTATAAAAACAATACCTCATCAACACTTCTTGACAATTTTTCCTCCACCTACTCCATTCTCGCATTTCAAGCCTCATGCCATACAAATCTTCCCCGCCACACAAATCTTCCCCACCACCCACGAGCAAATGAAGGGAGAAGGGAACGATTTTTTCTTTTCCAACCGTTGCACCCGTCCCAACCCGATTAAAATTATAAAAGATATATATAACTTAATTTCTTTAAACATAGATTCACCTTGTTTGATTTTAATTATTTTTAAAAGGGATTTTTATTGATAAATCCATTCTAGAGTTGTTATAACCCATTAGGTCCACTAAAGAATATTATAACCTAATTAGTCCCATAAACTTTTCTTTTTATTCCATAAGGTCCATTTTTCTAATTTAATATAATTTCTTGGACTATTTTGCCCCTGTATATATATATGTACAGTGTTAATACGTAACAGGTGCCTGTTTCTTCGCTCATGCAGTTTGGCCGTTTCTATTTTAAGCTTTTCATCATCAATCCAATTCCGAGAGATACGTTTATGTTTTGCATGCTCGTTACAAGGATTGGTTGTGCTAGGGTTTCATCCTTGTTGTTGTAGTCTGGTTCTGTGGTTTGCGAGTGAAGACGACGAAGAGGAGGGTGTTCGGTTGTTATATTTGTCGGATTATAACTAGTTCAAATTAGTTTTTTTCAACTTTCTGTACGATTGTAGGATTGCATGATCAAGGTTAGTATCAATTTGGTTATGAATACATGTTCAGTTTATGGTTTCATTCGTATAATGGATCAGATGCTCTATTTTTGGATTTATATGGATTGAATGCTCTGTTTTTTCAATTATATGCATTTTACGTGGTTATGTGGAGGGGAGTTCATTCGTATTATGTGAAGAATGTGTAGTTCTCATTTGACTTTGATGCATGCGTAATGAGGCTCTGTGTGGATGATTTGATTATCAGTATATATATTAATGTGAATGTTCACATTTTGTGAATGTGGAATATGTGAAGAATGTGGATGTTCTCATTTTAAATTGATGTTTGCTTAATGAGGCTCTGTGAAGATTGTTAATATTATGTGAAGATTGTTAATGTTCTCATTTTACTTTGATGCTTGCTTAATGTTAACATCTTGTTAATATCAATGTGAATGTTTACATCATCATACACTGATGTGAATGTTCACATCATTATACACTGATGTGAATGTTTACATCATCATACACTGATGTGAATACTCACATCATTATATTATGTGATGATTGTTGATGTTCTCATTGTACTTTGATGTTTGCTTAATGTTGACATCTTGTTAATAGTAATGTGAATGTTCACATCTTCATATTGTGAATTATGGATTTAGCACTTGAACTGTACACGTAGTCATCTATTTTTTGCACAATGTGAATTTTCATATCGATTTTCATTACTGTTCATTGTTGTGTTTTTGTGTTTTTACAGGAGATGGATACCTTTATGCTATTGGTGTGTACATATGGTTGTAGTACAACTGTAATAAATGTTGCCCGCGCAATGTGTTATTCTCGTTTGGTGAGTGTTTGTGTGAGAAATGGGATGAGTTGTCTGCTGGTTCTATTTCATTGTTCTGTAAACTACCTGGGATTAATAAGTGTCATTTGGACAATGAGGAAGAATTTCAGAACATAGTACTGCTTGCTAAATCAATGGGGGTACAACATGTAGAAGTTGTGGTTGAGTTGAAGGGTGATATTGGTCAGTCAAGTAGTTTGGAATTGCTGCGTGTGGGGGTTGAGGATGAAATTGATGCACTACGGAGATTTTGCCACCATAAGGAGAAGGTGTTGTTGTCAGCCCCTTGGGCAAATGGTATTACGCATGTAGGACAACGGTTTGTTGGAGGTGCACAAGAATTTCGTGACGTTTTATGTAAGTATGCCATCCAATGTGGGTTTAAGTTCACATACGTGAAGAACGAGACAACAAGAGTTACTGCTGTATGTGCGATGCGGGAGGAGAGGGGGTGCTTGTGGGCTATACATTGTAGAGCACAACGAGCAAATGATTTTTTCTACATCAAGAGGTTTAGTGATGTGCATACTTGTGGTACGGATGTTCGAACATCGAAGAATCCGCGAGTTAGTTCGGATTTGGTGTCGAGTACCATATCTGAAATTGTGAGGGACAAGCCGTTGACTCGGCCGTGTGAAGTGGTGACTATTTTGAAAAGGGATTATGGGCTAGATGTGAGTTACCATGTCGTATGGTTGGGTGTGGAGAAAGCAAAGGCTGGTATCCATGGAGATCACTCGTTATCGTTTGACCAGTCTTGTCGGCCTTTATTATTCCTGGATGGAACATTTCTCAAAGGAAAGTACAAAGGTCAGCTACTTGCGGCAACGGCGAAAGACGGGAACAGTGGTTAGAAGTTTTTTTTACCTGTCTATTCATGTCAATATTCACTCTGAGCAACGTAGTCTGGACGAAAGAGTGATTGCAAAATTATAAGTAATGTGAACATTGACATTAGTATGCACTGATGTGAATGTTCACATCTTTGTATGCTAATGACAGAAATGTGAACATTCACATTATTACAGACTGATGTGAATGTTCACATCAGTGTATACTAATGTTAGTTAATTTATTAATGAACAGTACTGTGAATGTTAACATTGTCAGTGACTCAACAATCAACAATGAATTATTAATGGTCGTTAATGTGAATGTTCACATCGTTGATGTTTACGAACCTGAATCCAAAAACAACAATAGTAAAGAGGGCAATGTACATATGAACATTCACATGACCTATTTCGTTTATACTGTTTTTCTATTCACTTTGGAATATTGTTAACAGTTGTGTATTGGTGTTGTGTTGTAGGTCTGTTTCCTGTTGCATTTGCAATTGTTGATTCGGAGAGCACGGCTAATTGGTCGTGGTTCTTGCATGAACTTGGGAAGGTTGTTGATGGGAAGCGCCATATTACTTTTATTTCGGATCGTAATCTTGGTCTGTTAGAAGCTATGCCAAGGGTGTTCCCATCGGCTCATCACGGTTATTGCTTACAACACTTGAAGAGCAATTTAAGAGACCGGATGAAAGGAATTGATAATGGATTCAGGGATCACTAGTAAGTAGTTTGCATGACTGTGCCTACGAGCCAACTGTGGTAGGGTTCCATGAAAAGCTTGCAAAATTAAAAGAGGAGGGTAAACAACGAGCTCATAATTTTTTCAAGGACTTAGCACCTGAGCACTGGGCAAATTCATACTTCAGGTAATAATAGATTCCTAAGGTGTTCCATTTTTGAAGTTTAGAATGGTAGTGATGTGAATTTTCAGTTTATAATGGTGACAATCTTCGAATTGTGTTTCATCTTCAATGTAAATGATGTGAATATTCACATCTGCTAATGATGACTGATGTCAATGATGTGAATGTTCACATCTGTTAATTTGTCAAACAGTCATGCAATGTATTACAGATTTGAATGTTGACACGTGTCATATTTTATTATTGTTGTTAACATTCACATCTGTCTATCATTTAAGTTGACAACGTAATAACCATGTAATGTGAACATTCACATTATTAAAACCTGGTAGCAGATGTGAACATTCACATTATTATACCCTGATGTGAATGTTCACATCGGTGTATACTAATGGCAGTACTGTGAACGTTCACATCTGTCAACATTAATGGTCAGGCCTGTTAAATTCCGTATTGTACAATGTTTGTGATATACTGTGCAGGGGCATGCGTTATGGGGAGATGACATCCAATGCGGCGGAGTCATTTAATAACTGGATTAAAGAAGCACGTAATCTTCCTATCACTCAAATGGTGGACAAAATTCGTACTCAGTTGATGCGGCAAATGTCTGCACGGCGTGACCAAGCAAACAAATGGAATGAGATTATTTGTCCGACATTCGAAACAAGGCTTATGGATTCGTTCAATGACAGCAAGTCTTGGCAAGTTAGCAAAGCCAACGAGGATGTGTTTGAAGTTCATTCGATACCATCGGTTACAGTTGATGTTGCGAGGCGTACATGTTCATGCTTCAAATGGCAAATCAACGGATTCCCGTGTGACCATGCTGTTATTGCCATTCAAAAGAGCCGCTACAATCTCAATGATTGTGTAGAACATTACTTTCATGTAGAGACATATCGTGCAGCCTATTCGGGAGCCATATTCCCTATACCATCGGTGGAGAAGCCGCCTTTTGATCCCACGGACTTTACTATATACCCGCCTACCGTGAAAAGACCACCCGGAAGGCCGAAGAAGAATAGGATCCCATCAAGGGGTGAGAAACTGAAGCAAATAAGGGGCGGGAGATGTGATAAGTGGGGGAGCCATAATCGAAAATCATGCACGGAGCCGATATAAGATGTACCTTTTTTCATTTCAACATTGTATTTTACATTGGATTCTTATATTCATTTTTCAAATAAGATTGTGTTATGTTGGGAAACATTGGGTTACAATAAGATTACGTTGCGTTAGCAAACATAATAATGCATTAGTGTTTGATTTGTGTTTTATTTTTACTTTTTTAAGGTACCAATCTGACATTTATGTTGGGTGTGTTTTGGATGAATGCATGCTGTTAACATTCACATTATGTGAATGTTCACATTGTTCAACTTTCAAACATTTCTGTGGTGGGAATGTTCACATTGTTGTTACTGTTAAAAGCAATGTTTACATCAATGTAACCATTCGCATCATCAACTCATAAGATGTGAATATTCATGACATCATTGTTGCCATTCGCATAATCAGAAGTTATCATGTGAATATTCACATCATCAAATTGTTAGATGTGAATATTGACTTGTGTTAAGAAATATCATAATCACACCTGTCATATTGTGTTACATGAACACTTTAAGCAATATTCACATCCATGTAGTATGGTTTAAAATAGAAGAAAGTGTACGATCATTCTGTGATGTGAACATTGACATCATGTCATGTGTATCCAAACAAAAAAAAAAGAAAATACAATCTCAATGTACACGACCAACGCAAAATAGGCCTGAAAATGCATATACATATATTGACTGAAAAGTATCTGTACAAGCAGTGATATAGACTTCATTTACAATTAAGCTACTGAAACTAAATTGTCTTAAATGTGGATAACAGATTTGGGTAACAGTGATAGGTGGACACCCCCCACCTATAGGTTTTCACATTGCACTGTCTTTCTTGTGTGTGTGTGTGTGTGTGTGTGTGTGTGTGTGTGTGTGTGTGTGTGTGTGTGTGTGTGTGTGTGTGTGTGTGTGTGTGTGTGTGTGTGTGTGTGTGTGTGTGTGTGTGTGTGTGTGTGTGTGTGTGTGTGTGTGTGTGTGTGTGTGTGTGTGTGTGTGTGTGTGTGTGTGTGTGTGTGTGTGTGTGTGTGTGTGTGTGTGTGTGTGTGTGTGTGTGTGTGTGTGTGTGTGTGTGTGTGTGTGTGTGTGTGTGTGTGTGTGTGTGTGTGTGTGTGTGTGTGTGTGTGTGTGTGTGTGTGTGTGTGTGTGTGTGTGTGTGTGTGTGTGTGTGTGTGTGTGTGTGTGTGTGTGTGTGTGTGTGTGTGTGTGTGTGTGTGTGTGTGTGTGTGTGTGTGTGTGTGTGTGTGTGTGTGTGTGTGTGTGTGTGTGTGTGTGTGTGTGTGTGTGTGTGTGTGTGTGTGTGTGTGTGTGTGTGTGTGTGTGTGTGTGTGTGTGTGTGTGTGTGTGTGTGTGTGTGTGTGTGTGTGTGTGTGTGTGTGTGTGTGTGTGTGTGTGTGTGTGTGTGTGTGTGTGTGTGTGTGTGTGTGTGTGTGTGTGTGTGTGTGTGTGTGTGTGTGTGTGTGTGTGTGTGTGTGTGTGTGTGTGTGTGTGTGTGTGTGTGTGTGTGTGTGTGTGTGTGTGTGTGTGTGTGTGTGTGTGTGTGTGTGTGTGTGTGTGTGTGTGTGTGTGTGTGTGTGTGTGTGTGTGTGTGTGTGTGTGTGTGTGTGTGTGTGTGTGTGTGTGTGTGTGTGTGTGTGTGTGTGTGTGTGTGTGTGTGTGTGTGTGTGTGTGTGTGTGTGTGTGTGTGTGTGTGTGTGTGTGTGTGTGTGTGTGTGTGTGTGTGTGTGTGTGTGTGTGTGTGTGTGTGTGTGTGTGTGTGTGTGTGTGTGTGTGTGTGTGTGTGTGTGTGTGTGTGTGTGTGTGTGTGTGTGTGTGTGTGTGTGTGTGTGTGTGTGTGTGTGTGTGTGTGTGTGTGTGTGTGTGTGTGTGTGTGTGTGTGTGTGTGTGTGTGTGTGTGTGTGTGTGTGTGTGTGTGTGTGTGTGTGTGTGTGTGTGTGTGTGTGTGTGTGTGTGTGTGTGTGTGTGTGTGTGTGTGTGTGTGTGTGTGTGTGTGTGTGTGTGTGTGTGTGTGTGTGTGTGTGTGTGTGTGTGTGTGTGTGTGTGTGTGTGTGTGTGTGTGTGTGTGTGTGTGTGTGTGTGTGTGTGTGTGTGTGTGTGTGTGTGTGTGTGTGTGTGTGTGTGTGTGTGTGTGTGTGTGTGTGTGTGTGTGTGTGTGTGTGTGTGTGTGTGTGTGTGTGTGTGTGTGTGTGTGTGTGTGTGTGTGTGTGTGTGTGTGTGTGTGTGTGTGTGTGTGTGTGTGTGTGTGTGTGTGTGTGTGTGTGTGTGTGTGTGTGTGTGTGTGTGTGTGTGTGTGTGTGTGTGTGTGTGTGTGTGTGTGTGTGTGTGTGTGTGTGTGTGTGTGTGTGTGTGTGTGTGTGTGTGTGTGTGTGTGTGTGTGTGTGTGTGTGTGTGTGTGTGTGTGTGTGTGTGTGTGTGTGTGTGTGTGTGTGTGTGTGTGTGTGTGTGTGTGTGTGTGTGTGTGTGTGTGTGTGTGTGTGTGTGTGTGTGTGTGTGTGTGTGTGTGTGTGTGTGTGTGTGTGTGTGTGTGTGTGTGTGTGTGTGTGTGTGTGTGTGTGTGTGTGTGTGTGTGTGTGTGTGTGTGTGTGTGTGTGTGTGTGTGTGTGTGTGTGTGTGTGTGTGTGTGTGTGTTTTGTACACATTTACAGTTGCCATACGTTGTTGGTTATTGATTCTTCCTTGATGAGGTGTATGATGTCATCAAAATACACATGTTTAGTCTTTGAGTCCCCTCGCCACACTAGCAACCTGTGCATTGTGATTACAGAAAATTTTAATGTCAACATTGCACATTTATGAAATGATCTAATTTATTAAGTATGTATGTGAACTGAACATGATGGAAAAAAAAACAGTTGGGGATATGTAAGATCACTTACTCATCACCGCCGTTCTTGTGCAAATTTTGGACTTTTTGCTTGTTGAGTTTGTTCATGTTAGCCCAGACCTTCAGTTTGTTGTTTAAGGTTAACTTCTTGGACTTTGTTGGCTGCTTTTTTGGTGGTTGCTTGTCTAAATCTTGTGCAATTTGGACTGCATGTGATTGCTGTTCGGCTCCTTCTTTCCCTTTCTTCTGACCAGGCAGGTTGGGGTATTCAAACTCGTCCAACCTGTGTTCTTTCCTTACCTTCTGCTTTATGCGCTTTACCCTTGATGGGGGGCTGATAACGTGTTCCAATGCTGCAGTGGGATTGTTGTTAAGGCTGTCATGAGCCTTTTGTGCTTCAACTTGAGTGATGATGTGTACGGACTGATCGTCAAAAAGGTCTTCAAGTATTGTTTTTTCGCATTCCAAGTTGATGACCAACTTTGTCAGCCGCTGAATTTCTGTATCTTTCCACTCCATGTAAGTCTTCATGTCCATGTCTACATTGGATGAGCCCGATTGGTCAAATAGTTTGGCTTCAAGGGCAGCAATCACCCTTGCCCTCAACTCCCATGATTCTTCCAACTGTTTGTATTTCGCTTCCCATTGTCGTACAAGAGCCCAAGCTTTTTGGTTTTCTTTTATGAGTACTTCCACAATGTCGGGCTTAGTTGGTTGTGCTATGATGATTCCTTTCTCAGCATTGGGGGTGCTACAGCTGGGGTTGATATAATGTCCAACATCATTCAGGTCCACTGCATCGACAGAAAATGCATCCCTGTCATCACTTCGTTGACTGTCTTTGCTTTGATCCTCATTGCTTTCATCTTTTTTTGCTACTGCACTTGACTCCACATTCAATTTTGTGTGACGATAAATCTTCGCTTCAGTTGGTGATGCCATTAGCTCGCCGCCATATACCTGCATTTCGAGACAGTATGTTAGTTAGATAGTTCCTCGTCGCACTATTTGAATAAGCACAATATATTTGGTTGTACTTCTACCTCATTTAAACCTAGCTTAGCCAGAGTTATGGACTTCATGTTGCTATGTAAGGCTGTGAGGTCCCATTTTACGCATCGTGGAATGGCATTGGGGTTGTGGGGTTGTAAGATTGTTGTATGCTCATACAGCCAATACTGAAACAAATAACAAATATCAGTAATTTGAATGTTCATATGAAATTAACATTGATGTGAATGTTTACACCACTGGTGCAGTAATGTGAATGTTCACAGTGCACCACTAGGCCAGTAATGTGAATGTTTACATCACTTAAAACTGATGTGAATGTTCACATCCGTTGATGTGAATGTTCACATCTGCTAATGTGGAGTAATGTTACTGATGTGAATGTTCACATTTTCTAATGTTGAGTGATACTACTGATGTGAGTGTTCACAACTGTTAATGTGAGTGATATTACTGACCTGAATGTTCCCAACTGTTAGTGTCAGTGTTATTACTGATGTGAATGTTCACATTTGCTAATGGTGGGGGATGATACTGATGTGAATGTTCACATCTGTTCAAGTCAGTGTTATTACTATGTGAATGCTCACATTTTGCTAATGGTGAGTGATGTTACTGATGTGAATATTCACATCTGGTAATGTGAGTGGTACAACTGATGTGAATGTTCACATCTGTTCAAGTCAGTGTTATTACTATGTGAATGCTCACATTTTGCTAATGGTGAGTGATGTACCTGATGTGAATATTCACATCTGGTAATGTGAGTGATACTACTGATGTGAATGTTCACATCTGTTAATGTGAATGTTTACACCAGCATCTACTAATGTGTGTTTGTACATTACTGAAACAGTAATGCGAATGTTTTCATCAATGTTGTCAACTTCCACACCAAAGCTGAGAAATGTGAACATTCACATCAGAGTGTTCAGAGCCCGTATATGTTCATATTAAACATAGAATAAGTTTTATGAGATTTGATTTACCATTAACAACATCACACATCCGGTGACTCGTCCTGGTTTTTCACAGTTTTGGCCCAATGAACCCATCAAGGTTGCCCGGATGCTCTCAGCCCAATCATACTCGATCATCTTGTGTAATGGGTCCATGTATGAGTAGAAAACCCATCCAATTGTTTCTCCGGATGTAGAAAAGAATAGCTTGACGCATGCATACATGCAAACTAATCTTGCGACCTCCTCATTGTCATGTTTTTTTGTGCCCTTCAATGCTTCCCTCAGAATTTCTCGTATTTTGGCAGCACTTAACCGACTAACATCCTTGCACATTCGGTGTATGATGCCGGTTGTTGGTTTTGCACCATAAGAGAGGTCCATCGACTTGGTGCCGCAGTCCACCCCAAAAATCAGTGATACGTCGCTTCTAAAAATCTGGATGTTCTTATCCCCAATGTAAAACCTTCCACTAGATTGCTTGAATGTTTGTACTATACGTACAATGATATCATCATATTTCATGCAGTGGTTGAGGTCGATTTCGTTACTGATCAAGCTATCAAATAATGGCCAGAACGGTGTTTTTCTAAGGCATTTCAATTGGCCACTTGTAAATTTTGTATCCTTTAACAGTTTGACCAATCCAGTTATATTTGACCGGTAGTTTACTTTTTTCATGTTCACTTCTTCAGGAACAGCTGTTTGATCAGGCTTGGTTTTGGAACGGGATTCCCCTCGCTTTCGCTTGCCATCAACTTTATGGGGAAGACCTGTGTGTTCAAATGAGCACATATAATTGGTTGAAACACAGAGGATGGAACCCGAAGCACCAAACAACATTCAACAACCAGCATTGACAATAATTAGAACATTCACATCATTGTACACTGATGTGAATGTTCACATCAGTGTTTATTACTGTAAGTTTACACAGTAATCAATACTAATGTGAATGTTCACATCATCGATGTTTGAAAAATAAATTCCGAAAACGACAACAGTTACTGGGCAATGTAAATGTTTACATGGGTGATCACATTATGTTATAATTTGCTAAAAATGAAAGGGGGGAATCAACAGCGCCAAACTACACCCAATAACACAAACAACTTGGGCATTGATGTCACAATGTGAATGTTTACATCATACTCCATCACAGTATTGAGTGAAGTTTGGGGGTTCTGACATTAATGTGAACATTCACATCAGTGTGTACTACTCTAAGTTTACCCAGCACTCAATAGTAATGAGAATGTTCACATCATCCATGTTTGAGAAATAAATTTCGAACACGACAACAGTTACTGGCCAATGTGAATGCTTACATGGGTGATCACATTATGTTATAATTTGCTAAAAATCAAAAGGGGGAACCAATAGCGCCAAACTACACCCAATAACACAAACAACTTGGGCATTGATGTCACAATGTGAATGTTTACATCATACTCCATCACAGTATTGAGTGAAGTTTGGGGGTTCTAACATTAATGTGAACATTCACATGATGTGAATGTTCACATCAGTGTGTACTACTCTAAGTTTACCCAGTACTCAATAGTAATGTGAATGTTCACATCATCCATCTTTGAGAAATAAATTTCGAACACGACAACAGTTACTGGCCAATGTGAATGCTTACATGGGTGATCACATTATGTTATAATTTGCTAAAAATTAAAGGGGGAAATCAACAGCGCCAAACTACACCCAATAACACAAACAACTTGGGCATTGATGTCACAATGTGAATGTTTATATCATACTCCATCACAGTGTTGAGTGAAGTTTGAGGGTACTGACATTAATGTGAACATTCACATGATGTGAATGTTTACATCAGTGTGTACTACTCTAAGTTTACCCAGTACTCAATAGTAATGTGAATGTTGAGATCATTCATGTGTGCAAAAACAAATCCCGAAAACTACAACAGTTAGAGGGCAATGTGAATGTTTACATGGGTGATCACCTTATGTAATAATTTGCTAAAAATCATAGGGGGAAACCAACTGCACCAAACAACATCCAACAACACAAACAAGTCCAACATTGATGTCACACTGTGAATATTTACATCACATTTCATCACATTGTTGAGTGAAGTTTGGAGGTTCTGTGGGCATAAAAAATGAACAATATCAACAGTGATAGTAATATGAACATTCACATCATCATACACTGATGTGAATGTTCACATCATTATACACTGCTGTGAATATTCACATCAGTGTCTACTACTGTAAGTTTAGCGAGTAATCAACACTAATGTGAATGTTCACATCATCTATTTTTACAAAATTAATTCCGAAAACATCTATGTTTACAAATTCAAATCCGAAAACCAGAAGGTGTATGTATACATCAATGATGACAATATGATTGAAAAACAGAAGGTGGAATGGTATTCCTTACTTTTGTTCGTCATGGTTGGTGGGTATGGATCACACTCAGTGGATAAAATAAACTCAATGGGGCGACAAGAATCTTCGAACAACGAAGCACCCTCCTTCCGATGTGAAGCTTCGCAGTGGTGAGACGAAGAGGAATCTGGGGTCGATGGTTGACGGTGGACGACGAGGACGTTGGTGAGGCGATGTAAATCTAGGGTTACTGGAGGCAATATCAGTATCGTTTCGTGGATTGAGTTTTTGTTTTGGAAATTTTGTGGATTAAATATTTCGAATAGGAATGGGTTTTTGCAGAATCGGTTTCACGCGAGAGAGGCAGAGAGGGTTATTTCGTCCTTTAACAATTAATGGACCTAATGGAATATTCAGAAATAGTTTGGATTTTATGGAACAAAACAGTTATAAATAGGATTTATGAAAAAATGGCCCTTTATTATATACCATATAACTTTCCTCTCCCTAGTGGAATATTTAAAAGAGTAAAAGTAATGAAGAACTCATCTAGGAATGACAATTGACTGGGGATCACACTCTCCGTCCCCGATCCCCGAAGATACAAAATTTTCCGTCCCTGCCCCCGATCCCCGGTGGGGAACCCATTACCCCCCATCCTCAACGGGGATCGGATTTTCCTAACCACAAAAAATCCCCGACTTTTTTTTTTTGAAAACTACTTTGAAGCTCTATGGAGGATAAAAAAAATAAAAATAGATCAATATGGCGAAAAAGAGAGATCAACAACAACTAATCATCATCATCATAGATCTCACAGATCTAAGCTGCAATCTATAATATATATATATATATATATATATGTGTGTGTGTGTGTGTGTGTAAAATAGAAAGAGGAATAGAGAGAGAAAAAGTCTGTAGAGAAGCGGAGGAGATTGATAAGGGAAGGAGAGAGAAGAGATCGGTAGAGGAGAGTAGTGGAGGAGGGCGATGGAAGTGTCGGTAGCGAAGAACGACGCTGTGAAGAGGATGGCTTTCTTCTCTCGGTAGAGGAGATCGGCGATCTGACAAAGGATTGACTCTCTTCTCTCTCTTCCTCCTCCCTATTTTTCTCACACGAAAAAGCCGTGTGTGAGTGTGAGGAAGCAATTGTGTAAGTGTCAACAAAATAAAGACATGCATACATATATATATATATATATATATGGACAGGTAAAACAACAATTTTATTTCAGGAAAAACAAGACGGGAGTCGGGGCCGAAGAGGGGGCTAGGAAACGTATCACCATCCCCGGCCCGAAAACCATCAAGAATTCATTTTCGAATAACATCCCCAGCCCGTTGAGGGCATTTTTTGAGAAAAAAAACACTCTAATCGAGGTCAAGGAACGGGTCCCCGTCAAGCTAGGTTCAAATTGCCATCCCTAAACTCATCCTCATGCTTTTTCTACTGAGCTCTTCGGCCATCAAGTTTACCACATAAAATGTTATTTTTGTTTCTTTTAAAAGGAAATAAATATTTATTTTATATAATTTTGATATATAAATTGATGTGAAATCTTTTTTATTTTTATTTTTATTTTTTTGGGAGGGGGGGGGGGGTTAATTTTTTGGGGCAAAATAATAACATCATTCAAAGAGAATAACAAACACAAATAAGAGTTCTCAGATTCAAATTACATAGCTAACGAAAAAACATTGCAAGCATAAAGTAAAGCAAGGAAGCTAAATTACAACCAACTATATTCACAATCATCGCCAAGCACTTGAAATATTGTAGCTCCACTCCACCATATATGTAGTTTCCCAATCTTCTTAGTATCCTTCAGTTAAAACTCGAACACCACCCATCCAAGATGAAAAGTAATATACATGATGCCAACACAAGACCTGCAAAGAGGAGAAGAAAACTACAAAGCAAATATATATATATATATATATCACTAAACATGAAAACACATTTATCTTTATATATATATATATATATATGAAGACCACTCTCTGCAGTATTTCGAATGTAGTCTGAGTAGTGAATTGGAATTCAAAGCATAGGTTTTAGAACCAAAAGCTAACAACTATCTCCATGGGCCAAATGTGGGTCAACCAACTCAATCACTTTAAACAAAATAAGTGCACATACCTCCAGAAGATATGCCACTTGAAGCCTTGATCAATGAATTCTCAAACAAGTTCTATTTGATAGGTATTTGAACATCTAGGAGCCATGACAAGTTCCTTAAGAAACTCATTCTCATTTTCCATGCTTGAAAATACATTCCTAATTGTCATCTTTGTCAAGACATCCACATTTTTCACTAGATACTTTATCAGATTAAGTTCATCTTGGGATGCATCTGCCAGAGATTTTAATTTCTTAACTTGGCACCCCTTGTGGTTCAAACCAATTGAATTGCTCTGAGTATGCAAAACCATCATGAAGTGGTACCTAGAAACCAACAAACAACAAGGTAAGAACTTGCAAATCGCTGGCTTGGAATTATTCTTTTAACTGACCTTCGCAAATACCATAGTGCACAAATTAGGTGCACCATTGAGCAAGTCAAACAAACTCTTGCAGCAAAAATTGTGGCAAACACCCAATTCCAATTGGATCAAATTAGGAAACGCGGGCCAATTTTTGTCATTAGCAAAGCCGAGAGCCTTCATCAGAGATGATAAAAGATAAAACTAGTCAATTATATAAAACCAAAATGATGTTGGATAAAGTTCTAAAATGATAGCATATATATGATAATCTACATCTTATCTCAACTTCTTATAAGTAAGGCCAAGTTTGGCATACTTGAAAAAAGACAAAAAGTCAAAAAATTACTATTCTATTTAAGTCACATCATCTTATTTAAGTCACATCACCTCTCTAACATATCACTTCAAACCCAATTCAAACCCAACCCATATTTCATAAAAAGTCAAAAAGTGCACTTATTTAGATCATCCCAAACAACCTCTAAATGATCAAAAGGAAAAGTAAACTTACTGCCATAGTGCTAGCCTTTAGATGTAGATGCACATTAGAAATTGCTTTCAAAAGCCCAAATAATTGGTTAACCTGTGTAATGGCAGAAAAAGCATATGGATAAGGGGCTTCAACACAAACACTTGCTTTAACTAATGAGGATAGGCTCTTCAAACAATAAAGAACCAAGCAATTATCTTTAACATGAAGGCATTCAAGAATTGGTGCATCGACCATGATCACAGTCTCAGAGTTTCGGTATTGCCTCGTAAGTAAAGATAAAGATATGTATAAAGTCTTCAGAGCTGGTGAAGAAATGCCATTTATTGTTTTCCCAAAACCCACTAGTGCTGAAATGGATAATTCTTCGAGCACAGGGCAGGAAGAAAAGAGCTTCTGGGTCAGGTCATTACTTGGATAAATAAGTGAAATATGAAAGATCTTGAGACAAGGGAAAGGGAAAGAGATTGAGGCAGGAACATCAAAATGAACTTGAGATCCTAGCTTTAAGACTACAAGCGTTTCGCAAATAAAGACATTACTAGGCAACCTAAGAATTATTGACCCGCAAACATTGATATCAATTTCACGGACATCACGCTTTACAGCAGCACTTATCCACGAATTCAAACAAGATTTGCCAATATCTGGATCACAACTTAGATAGAATCGTTGAATACTTGACAAATCATGTAAGAGAAGTACTCTTTCAATGAAATTCATGAGGCTCACATGGCGATGATGATCTTTAGGCTTATGCATGCCAGACCAAGGATGCTCAACTAACAGTGTCTTCTCATTGAATTCCAGATAGGGGACAGAAGTCCATATGTGTTTCCATCTTGGTGACAGAGTGCTGGTAGCAACTGCATATTTTGTTGGAAGGAAAGAGAGAATGTGGGCAAGAACTAAATCTGGTAAGCTATTGATCCTATCTTCTGAGGGAATGGAGAAGATAGGATCAGCAGCTTACCAGATTCAGTTCTAGCCAGAAAAGACCTAGCCATGAAATTAAATAGCACCCTGCATAAAAAAAGAATACTCAGATTGAGAAAATAGAGAACATCAAAATTTAGAATACTCAATCCACAAAGCTATTAAGAGTAGATGAGTTGTTTCCACACAAAGCGCGTAAAGGATAAAGAAATCATTTCACAAAAGAGAAAAAAAAACAATTTAAATAAAAGAACAGTGTGGTTGCATAGGATATCATTTAAAAAATGAACTAATCATCAGAATATGATTAAAACCATAAAGAAAAATGAACTAATCATATAGAAATAGTCATTTTCGTAATTACCAAAAGAAAAATAAAAATAAAACCTACCATGTAATTGGAGTAAAAATATAAATAGAAAAAGAAAGTTGGAAACAAAAGTCAACAATAGAATATAGCAACACTATTTTTAAGTGAAAATAAAATATAGGTTTTACAATTAATTATCTAAGATTTGATTTATTTATTTTTTGGTAATGCACTAAGATATTTGACTGGCCTTTCATTTTATTTGAGACAAATCAATTAGAGAATAAAGTTAAAGAAGGTCAAACCAACAAGTAGCAAAGTAAAAATTAATTTGCCTGAATTTAACCAAACAAAAACTTTGAAGGAACTGACCAGAGGAGTGAAAATCAATGGTTAGTCAATGAAAAGACCGCTTTCTCTACCTATAAAGCAAACAAAATTGGAAAATTAAAAAGAAAACTCTTCCAATAAAAATTCAATAAAAATTCTAATAGGAGGAATAGATGACAAAACAAAGAAACAAATCACAAAAACAAAACCCCTTTGCACAAAATAAAAGATTTTCAATTATTCCAACTCAGAATCTGATAGTTTTTCCAACTCACATTTAAGAAAACAAAAATAAAAATAAACAATTTCACAACCTGAAACAAAACCCTAATTTTTGAGGAACAATTTTTGAGTTCCTCAATCAAAATCCTAATGTTTCAGTGGAAATCCCAATTTCAAAACGTTAGTTTGACACAAACAAAACCCTTTACAAAAAATAAAAGATTTTCAATTTTTCCAACTCAGATTCAAATAGTTTCCCCACAAACCAAAAAAAAAAAAAAAAAAAAAAAACAATTTCACAACCTAAAACAAAACCCCAATTTTTGAGTTCCTCAATCAAAATCCTAATTTTTCAATGGAAATCCACAAATCAAAACCCCCGATTGACACAAACAAAACGCTTTCCACAAAATAAAAGATTTTCAATTTTTTCGAATCAGATTTAGATACTTTTCCCCAAATCACAAAAAAAAATAAATAATAATAAATAAGAAAACAATTTCACAACCTAAAACAATTTCCCAAAATCAAAACCCTAGTTTGAATGTCCAAATCCAAACCTGGTTTAAGGGTGGAAGCATTATTCTTCGCGTTCGTCTCTTCCATCTCCTTCCGGCCATCTTCCCTGTCATCGTTTTCACTTCTGGTTTAGAGCTCTCTCTCTCTCTCTCTCTCTCCTCCTTTTCCACTCTGCGTTTTTCTTTGTTTTGCTATCAGACTGAGGGTTTATTATTATTATTATTCAGAGTTAATACTCTAAAAGGACGTTGTTTTGGGATTTATGCGTAAGGACAATAAGGTAATTTTCAACATTCGTGCTTTATATAGGGATAGATACTAGACATCCGTGAGGCCTTTTTATGGGGATTTTTCTCTATGTAAGTTTTTATATTAATTTATTTTTTAAATTAAGTCTATTTTTGTGAAAATTTTCGTGCTTTACATAGGGATAGATACTAGACATCCGTGAGGCCTTTTTATGGGAATTTTTCTCCATGTAAGTTTTTATATTAATTTATTTTTCAAATTAAGTCTATTTTTGTGAAAATTTTCGTGCTTTACATAGGTATAGATACTAGACATACGTGAGGCCTTTTTATGAGGATTTTTCTCTATGTAAGTTTTTATGTTAATTTATTTTTCAAATTAAGGGCTAGTTTGGCATGTACTAAATAAGTTAAAAAGTCACTATCTTATTTAAGTCACATCATCTTACTTAAATCACATCACCTTTCTAACACATCACATCAAACTCAACCCAAACCCAACCCAAACCCACCAATAAGTCAAAAAGTACACTTTTTTAGGACATCCCAAACCTACCCTAAGTCTATTTTTGTGAAAATTTTCAAACTAAGATGTAGCGTGTTTATAAAACAGACTTTTGGCATTTTTGTGGTTTAGGCAAATAAAATAAATAAAATTATAAAAATATGTTTACAAAATGTACTTTTAATTAAGATCGCGCGGTTATAAATCGTGCATTTACTAATTATCCCGTCAATTAATAAAACACAATTGAAAAACGCAGAATATGAAAACATATTTTGAAAACACGCTTTTAATAAAAATAAATAATTATATAAAATGATCACTTTTTTACTTTAATTCTTAATTTTTTTTTTATTCTAAGATTTAGGATTTAGGGTTTAATTCTTACAATTTATTTATTTTTATTTTAGGTTTTAGGATTTAAGATTTAGGGCAAAGTGTAATTCATGATGCCAAAAAAATAGTAAGAACATAAAAAATGAAGATAAAACTGTGTCGTTTTAAGCACAATAAAAAACACAATTACCGCGTGGCCAAAAAAAAAAAAAGATAAGGTTTAGCGTAAGACATCACACACACTCACACTCTTTTCTCTCTCTCTCTCTGACACACTTACACCCACATCACTCTACTCTCTCTCTTTCACACACATTCACACACACTTATAATAAATAGATAAAAATAAAAATGACTGATTTTATTCATTATATTTATTTTAATAAAACATATATAATTTTTAATATATATAAATTTTATTTTAAATAAAATTATAAAAATATGTTTACAAAATGTGTTTTTAATTAAGGTCGCGCGGTTATAAATCGCGCGTTTACTAATTATCCCGTCAATTAATAAAACACAATTGAAAAACACAGAAAATGAAAACACATTTTGAAAACACGCTTTTAATAAAAAAAAAAAAATTATATAAAATGATCACTTTTTTACTTTAATTCTTAATTTTTTTTTTATTCTAAGATTTAGGATTTAGGGTTTAATTCTTACAATTTATTTATTTTTATTTTAGGGTTTAAGATTTAAGATTTAGGGCAAAGTGTAATTCATGATGTCAAAAAAATAGTAAGAACATAAAAAATGAAGATAAAACTGTGTCGTTTTAAGCACAATAAAAAACACAATTACCGCGTGGCCAAAAAAAAAAAAGATAAGGTTTAGCGTAAGACATCACACACACACTCACACTCTTTTCTCTCTCTCTCTCTGACACACTTACACCCACATCACTCTACTCTCTCTCTTTCACACACATTCACACACACTTATAATAAATAGATAAAAATAAAAATGACTGATTTTATTCATTATATTTATTTTAATAAAACATATATAATTTTTAATATATATAAATTTTATTTTTATAAAATTAATACCAATAAAAAGATACCAATCATATTTTTAAAATGAGATCAATATTAAATAATAATAATAATAATAATTACTCTGTTTAGTTTGGTTATATTTTTTAAATATAATTTTTTTAAATTATTAGTCTCATTTTAAAGATAATCAAACCAAATAAAGTGATTGTTATTTTTTATAGACTAATATCTAATATATGTAACAATAATTTATAATAATACATAATAATCAAATCAAATAGAGTGATTGATTATTATGGCCCACGCTTTTCACATGAATTGGCCTAGCGAATTCCTATGACTATGCCATTTTCAAAACTTTATTCCCACTCTAGAGTGGGTGTTTATCTTTATTCCCATTCTTGGGTGAAACAGCTCTTCCAGTGCCCTTTTTATTGAATAGAAAAAGATTATTTTTTTTTTTATATGTGTGCATAAAACCAGCTTTTGAGAAGCCAATTTTACTTAATTTGTAATTATTTCTCGTTAATTTAAAACGGTTTTGCTAAATTTGTTTTGTGCCAAATATTTTTTATTTTTAAATTCTTAATTTTGAAGATAAATATTTATATTGAAAATATATTTCAAACATAAAACGGTAGGAAAACCGTTTTACAATACGGCTTTAGCACAGCGGCTTTTAAAAAAATGTTTATTTTTTTGGGTTTGTCAGTGTTGTTTTTGGTTGAATACACGTTTTTGCCCTGCTCCCCAGTTCAATACACACAGATGAAGCCGAAGAGAGACGAAGAAAGTGCACAGCAGATGAGAGTAATCACTTTTTTGGTTATCACTGTTGAACAGATGAATGAGTTCAGAGATCTTGTTTGTTCCCTTAAATATTTGTTGCCAAGAAATATTCAAATAAAACTTTACACAGCATATACAAAGTATCTAATTTGCTAATTACTACTACGAATAGGGAAGCAAAATAAAGGTATGACTATAACACTTATAGCACTTCAGAACGACGTAGCTAGTTCAAACATAAGTATCTCACAAAAATAATTTGTAGAAACATTCAGCATAACACAGTATATAAAATAAAGTAACGAGTACAATACTTAACAGTTACATAGACAAATATTAGACAAATATTAGACAAACCTTTCACAAACTCATTGCCGGAAGAGTTATTTTAACACACACAGTACATAATTATGGATAACCTAATATAATTTAGTAGACAGATAGACGCCTAATCCTCGCTCAAATCGGCAATCTCAGAGTCCGAACAACCTGAGAGCTCAGGGTCAAAGAGAAGTGCAGGATCCTTCTTGATAGCCTCAGCATTTGGTGTTGTTCCTTTCTTCTTGAAATCCGACTTAAGTATATGTAGTTTCATATCGCGGGCTAACGTACGGTGCATTTGAGAAATCTCACGTCGAAGACTTTCACATAGTCGATCAACATTATCTGGATCTTCCTTTTGGATCTCAACTGAACGTGCTTTCGGCACCTTCAGTCGATATTCCTGACATAATCTTTCCATTTGCACTCGCTCTATAAATAGTGCGGGCCACTTAAGAAGTGTAGCGTCTGCTAAACCATATCATGTTTGATTATTAGATGGATCCTCCATGAAACCACATGGATCTCGATAGTACTTGGGCATGACAAAATGTCGTTTCCCAAACCTATCATGATAAGCACAAGAGGCATCTAACAAAGCAAATGGTATTTCATCTTTAGCATCGCCATTTCCCCTTCATGTTCCTCTTCCTCGGCGTGAACTCTCACCTCTTTCGAAGTTTCTATCCCCTGTGAGTCCCCTTCCCATTCCTCTTCTTCGTCGTGAACTCTCACTTCTGCAATTGCTACCCCTTGCCGTGAATCTATACTCCATTTGATTTTTTCTTAATAAATGAACGATAGTTTCCTACGGTGAACTAAGTGGAAAGGTTATGTGTTTACCATCACTCCTTCAGTCTTTTATATAGTTGTTTGTTAACACTATTGCCATGTGGTCGTATTAATGTGACTTAGATGAGTTCTGAAATGTGAGGAAAAAAACAAAGCATCTAAGTCGCGTTGCACAATGTCACATGCCATTAAAAGCCCACATATACCAACACATCTTTATGAGTTGTCATTGTAAGAAATAAACAATCAATGCTAAACACGCTCCACACAATCAGTACTTCAATCGTCACTCAAAAGTGACTACTCACTTTTTCAAAAAAGACCAATCATTCGTACGCTGTTTACTGTGGCCATGTGAACTTGACCATTTCATTGAGTCCTTTAATTTATTATGTCTGTTAAAGTCACTGCATTACTGAGAAATGTTGGAGGTATCACTACGACAACTTTGACGAGACTACTCACTGTATGAAAAAAAAAACAAGAACTTGTACCATAGCTATTGCGCCCATGTGAACTTCAGCAATTCATTACGGGATGAAAGGGTGTTAGAACAAAACAACACTTTGTGTTTAAAAAGCCACCCTATGTAGCTTCAAATAGATTAATAAATCTTGAAGAGAAAATATTATAGAGTTGGAATGTATTGAAGATTAATTTGTAGAAGAGTACTTATAGATGGGTTTTTGGATATATAGAACTTGAAAGTGTTACAGATAAAAGCTAGCCTAGTATGCAGACAAGAACAACACCGACTTAAATCAACACATAGTTAACTAAAAATTTGAGAGAAATCATTAAAAAGTAGTTCAAAGAGATTTTAAGAGTAGTTAATATAGCAACAATTCAAGAAAATCAAGGAAGCGGAACAAGTTAAAAGATATCTGTCGAACCGAAGAATCCAAACCCCATCATGTACATCTAAATAAGCTCACAATACTTGTAAAAGATAGAGAAATTAAATTGAAATTAAATTGGTTAAATTTCTCTAATTAAATTAAATTAAATATGAAAGGTGAAAAGTGAAATTAAATATATTGTCAAGGCAAAATAAATTGAATTATGTTTGTAAGCAAAAAAGTGAAATTAAATTTCTAAGCGGATTTGAACTTTGCTTAAAATCTTCAGATATGCATTGAATAGTCAATAAAAGTCAAAGTGACAACTCCTATAAAGTTGATGCATAGTTGTTTAGGTCATAAAGGTTGACGTGACAACTCTTTTACAATAATTTTAAACATACAGCTACCATGTGAACCTCTTGAAGTATGACAAGTCATTGTCGGCATGTGAGTTTAGAGTTTATAAGACATGAATACTTGCGTCCATCTCCATTTCGAATTTGTGCATGTTGCAATAACTGTGCATATGTGGTGTAAATATTGCATCATACCACAACAAAAGTTTTATAAATATATCGAGCGATATTATCATGAGATATACGATGGTTGATCTATATTCAGCAATGGGTCGCCATTGGGTTGCAGATGGAGATGAATTTCGATACCCATTCAATCCAAATTTGTGTTACTCACATACCGCCGTCAATACCATGAGAGCTGAGTGGGAATTTCACATAACTCGAGCAAGCATTCTTGTTGAGGTATGTCATGAAGTTAATATTAAATTTCCTCGATAGTTAGCCATGCTTATGCCAATTGACACTCCACAGTTGTTGCAAAGGGCATTGCATCGTATCCGCGACGAAGGTAATTGCATGACCCAACGTTTGCAAAGGTTCGAACTAATGAAGACCGCAAATGAGCGTGCCGAAGTTGGGTTAATGGATGATGTGCACCAGTACTTCACCTGGAGCATGGATGCTAGGTATGAATCTGACATTGAGATATCAGATGATGATGATAATGAATGAAATTGTTTGGATGAATGGCCAAACCATTTCTCTTGTAATGTCTTTCTAATGCTTATCCACGACTTATCAATGAAGGGAGAAATTTCAATAGTTTTTGAATAGTTCTTGTAATTCTACAAATAACAATTACCTTTGCTTTCTCTACGTTATTGTTATTTTGAAGAACGCTAATTGAACTACGCTTTCATGATTTTATGCATTATTGAAGTGGAATATAATGATGATACTGAATGAACTTTGTTGCATGTATGACCAAACGTTTTCATTCATTGTAATGGCTTTGCAATGCTTATACATGAGTTATCAATAGGAAGAGAAATTCATAATGAATCTTGACATGTGTACTTATAAATGTAGTGATTTCATAAACTTCAGCTTCATATAACAAATAGTTGAATACATCCGTAACCTAGATGAACAACAACATTGTCTTACACCCTAATAATAAAGATACGACACAACATACAAACATATATGAAAGATAGAGGTGTTTGATTTCTCATTCCTCATCTAACATGTAGTAGTCAGAGAGATATTTTTCATTGTTTAAGACATTATTTCGCTCAATCACTGTTAATTCTCTGTTGCTTACTTCTGTCATTTCGGTGGCTAGTTGAACCATAAAATGTCGATATCTCCGCATCAACATTCTGTTGCTCTCTTTCTTAATTCTGCTAACTGCTTTTTCATAGTCGTCCACATTTCGTTTAGCTATGGTCAATGAACGACGATGAGGTACTGGTGCCCAAAGTTACGTAGATCATTAAACAATCGTTCTTGCTCTGTTACCCTGAACGCCCATTCTACTCGGATACCAGCATAATAATCCTTCGAACTTGAGTACTTTTCGCTCTTACAGTCGTAAGTAAATGGAGGTAGTAGTCACACTTTTGGATTTCTTTGATGGCGTGAACTTCTTGTACCTCTTGAAGACATTGTTCATAAAAAAAAAATAATAATAATAATTGTAGATATATTACTATTGTTATGACTTGAACAAACATCATACTTCTGGTAGCACTATTTATATATATTATATCAAATTCAGAAAAAAGTTATGCGATTGAATACATAAATAAATAAAAAACAAATTGAATATAAAAATAATTTTGGCCAAACTCAATATTCTTAATTGAATAAATCCTCATTCTTAACTCAAAGAAATTTCATAAATATGGAAAAAAAATTAAAAACTCAAAAAATAAAATAAAATAAATAAAACTCAAAGATAATGCAGAAGTATATGAGAATGTGTGTATATATATCATATCGAATTAAGAAAAAAGAATTATGCGATTGAATATATAAATTAAAAAAATAAAATTGAATGAGGATGTATTAAATTTTTTATCAATTGAAAAGTAGTGTTCCTTAATTCAATTTTTATTGACTCAATCACATAATTTTTTTTTAAAAAAATTTACACACGCATCACGTGTGCCTTAACTGCTAGTATGTATATATATATATATATGTGTGTGTGTGTGTGTGTGTGTGTGTGTGTCAACAGTTCTATAGTCTCAAAAAAAATTCAAAAAACTATACAGTTGAGATTAATTTCATACGTGGATATATAGTTGAGATTAGTTTCAAAAAACTATATAGTTGAGATTAGTTTCAATATATATATATGTATTAGTTTCATACACTGAAAAAATTTCAACTACACATTGCTTTTCTAGTTCAATTCTTAATTGTCTTGATAAATTACAAGTCTATTACCAAATGTACTTTGGCAAAAGCCATGTACCACTGTGTTATGAAAGTAGTGAGAGAAGAGAAAGAAGAAACTCTATATTGAATTGAATGAATAATACAATAGGGAGAAACCTGTATATATAGGCAGAAAGTAAACCTAGATAGACACAGAAAACATAGAGATAAACATAGAAGAAGATAGAGATTGAGAGAGATACAATACAAATAGATAAGATACATCTATAATAATAAACAGCTAACACCCCCTCTCAAGCTCAAGGTGGTAAGTCAGATATCAATTTGAGTTTGGAGAGGAGATCAGAAAAGCGACCTGGAAGATGAGCTTTGGTGAAGAGGTCGGCGATCTGATCAGCAAAGGTAATAAAGAGAAGACGAATATGGCCACTAGTAACATGCTATCGTATGAAGTGGCAATCGATCTCAATATGCTTGGTGCGATCATGGAAGACATCGTTATAGGCAATCTGAATAACACTTTGATTGTCACAATAAAGATTAGTGGCAGCTGAATGAGAAACACCCATGTCAGAAAGAAGCCAACGAAGCCACACAAGCTCCTGAGTAGTGTCTGCAAGAGCACGATAATCAACCTCGGTACTAGAACGAGCAACAAGGGTTTGCTTCTTACTATGCCAGGAAATGAGAGAGGTGCCCAAGAAGAAACAGAACCCAGTAGTGAAACGACGGTCGGTAGGATCCCCTGCCCAATCAGCATCAGAAAAGGCATGCAGCTGTAGAGAAGAGTGAGGGGAATATAAAAGACCATGAAACAAAGTTCCTTTGAGATAGCGCAAAATGCGAACCAAAGCAGCATAGTGTAGAGAGCGAGGAGCAGTCATAAATTGACTGACAATGTGAATAAGCAATATCTAGTCGAGTAACTGTGAGATAGACAAGACTACCAACTAACTGACGATATAAAGTTGCATCTGACAATAGGGGTCCGTCAAGAGGTGTAAGACGAGTCTGAGGATCAACTAGAGTAGTGACAGTCCTGCAATCGGAAAGATTAGCATGAGCCAAAAGATCAGAAGTATACTTGGCCTGAGTAAAAAAATAACTAGAGGAATCTTGAGAAATTTCCAAGCCAAGGAAGTAGCTAAGTGCACCAAAATCTTTCATCTCAAACTGGCGATAGAGAAACTGTTTGAGACTAGAAATACCCACTGTGTCATCTCCAGTGATAATCATATTATCCACATAGAGGAGAAGGAGAATAGTACCGCGCTCCGTCTTACGGATAAACAAGGCAGAATCATGGGCACTGGAAGAAAAACCAAAGTCACGAATGGTAGAGCTGAACTTGGCAAACCAGGCACGTGGAGCTTGTTTCAAACCATATAAAGCACGGCGGAGTTTGCAAACCTTGTTTGAGGGAACAGAATAACAAGGAGGAGGTTGCATATAAACTTCCTCAGTGAGGTCACCATTGAGAAATGCATTCTTAACATCCATCTGAGAAAGGTGCCAGTGGCGAGCAGCAACAACGGCAAGTAAGCTGCGAACTGAAGTAAGACGGCCAACAGGAGCAAATGTTTCCTTATAGTCAATCCCATATTCTTGACTAAATCCCCGGGCAACAAGGCGAGCTTTGTAGCGCTCAATGGAACCATTAGAATGAGTTTTGATCTTGTAAACCCATTTACAACTAACAGTACGCTTGCCAAGAGGAAGATCAACCACATCCCAGGTATGAGTTTGATCGAAAGCCTGCAGTTCATCAGTCATAGCTTGTTGCCAAAGAGGGTTAGAAGAAGCTTCTTGATAAGAAGTAGGTTCATGAGAGCAAAAAGCAGTGGAACCAACAATATAATCACGGAGAAGAACAGAAGGTTGCCTTACCTGGGTAGAATGACGCTTAGGAGGAACCTCAATGGAAATAGATGCCGGAAGAACCTCTACCGGAGCCGGAGAAGGCACAGGACCATCAGTTGACACAGGATCCTCAGGATGGATGATAGGTGTAGGCAGTTGTGGAAGAATGGGGCTAGAATCTGCATCAAAGTCATCAGAAAACAAATCTAGAGAAATATCAGTGAAGACCGGTGAGTGGGTGAACTGTGATAGATGAAACTACTTGAAAAAAGTGAAGAACATTTTGTGTTCCCAGAAGACCACATGACGAGAAATACGAAGACGCTTGGAGATAGGATCCCAACAATGATACCCTTTATGTTCGATACCATACCCCAGAAAACAACAAAGACGAGAACGAGGTTCTAGTTTAGTGTGTTCATGAGACTGAAATAGAACAAAACAAGCAGAACCAAAAACTTTAAGAGTGGTATAATCAGGAGGAGAACCATACAAACACTCGTAAGGAGTTGTGTTAGCTATTACAGGGGTAGGGACTCGATTGATGGTATGGATGGCAGTGAGAGCAGCTTCCCCCCAAAATTTTTCGAGACAAGAAGAAGAAAGGAGAAGAGCCCGAGTAATGTCTAGAATATGACGGTGCTTTCTTGCAGCTCGTTCATTTTGTTGGGAAGTGCCTGCACAAGATCGATGAGAAAGAGTACCATGAGCCCGAAGAAAAGAAAGAAAATCAGAATCCTAGTACTCCTTAGCATTATCAGAACAAAAAAGCTTAATAGTACAAGAAAACTGAGTGTGGACCATAGCAGAGAAATCATAGTAAGTCTACTTAAGTCAGAGCGATTTTTGAGAAGAAAAAGCCAAGTATAGCGAGAAAAATCATCAACAAAAATCACAAAATATCTAGACCCCCCCATGGTAGGTGTGGGGGAAGGTCCCCAAATATCTGAATGCACAAGATCAAAAGGAGCAGTAGAAATAGAATTATTTTTATTAAAAGGTAATGTAGGTTGTTTAGCAATTTGACAAGATAAACAATCGACATCGTCAAGACAGACACGACCTAACTGACCACTAGAAACTAATTTTTTTAAACGACTAAAAGAGACATGTCCTAAGCGACTGCCAAAGATGAAAAGGAGACATAGTAGATGCAGCAGCAACATGAGATAATTTGTGCGGACTGCGAAGATGGATAAGCTCAAACAGACGTCCATGCTTACGGCCTATCCCAAGGATCTGTCTCCTCTAAGGGTCCTGCACCAGACAACCATTAGCAGAAAAGGTAATAGTTAAGCCAAGGTCACATAACTGACCAACAGAGATAAGGTTCATTTTAAGAGAAGGAATATGGTAAGCATCAGAAAGAGACACAGTGGAAGTAGAGATTTGGCCAATATGACTAACAGGCATATGAAAACAATCCGCAGTGTGTATAGTGGGAGCAGAAGAGGAGGATGACAAAGAAGAAAATAGAGTAGAGTCAGAAGTCATGTGATTACAGCATGAGGAATCAAAATACCATGAAGAGTTACCTGAGGTTACTGAAAGAGCAGTAGATGGAGGAGTACCTAATTTGTTGAGCACCTGGTGGATAATGGACTCAACATCATCCATAGAGAAAGAAAGAGCAGAAGAACCCTCAAAGGCAACAGCAGCAGAGCGAGAACCGTGGTTAAATTTGGACTGAGACCTAGAACAAGAACCCCCTTTCTTAGATGAAGGAGCAAAGGGTGCTCGAGGACAATTGCTTTGGAGGTGGCCCGGAGCAGTCTTATGACAAGTCAAGCATTCGCGAACCTGGCAGTGAACAAGAAAATGATTGGCTGACAGGCTTCGGTTGCGATAATAATTGCATATGAGGGGCTGTGAAGATGAGGAACTCTGAGAAGATGGAGTAGCAAGAACAGAATCCATGTCGTGAGATCGGAGACTCCCAAAACGAGTCTCCTCTGATAGGAGCTCAGTAATGGCTTGCTCTAAAGTGGGCAAGGGCAAACGATGAAGCAAGGAAGCACGCACGGGCTCAAAAGTGCTATGAAGAGCCATAAGAAACTGTAATAGTTG